AAAAGGACATGACCTGGGCTCCCATGTGCCCCCAATCTCACTGATCCTTCTTCATTGTGCCATGGCCTGGCCCTGGATGGATGGAAGTCTGCAACCTGTCCCTGTTGAAGGTTTTGGGAACAGTCCCTGCTCCATTTCATGCCGCAGAGCTGACGGCTGCGTGATCCGTGAGCCTCCAGGGCTTTCACTGTCTAGCTTCTCGAGCTCAAGGTCTGTCCCGTGTGGAGGGTCAGGGTGCACTGGATTTATGGCCTTGTTCTTGGTGTCAGCTGCACCCGGCCTGGAGCAGAGCTGAGACGAGGGAAACTGCCACTGCCAGCACCCCTGAGGGCTCCCTAGGGGAGCCCCGCTTTGTCAGGCTGGAGACATTTCCTGTCGGAGCTAGGGGACACCCCATCCCAGGCCAGGCCTACCCCCGCCTCTGCTTTGAACAGGCTCAGTTCCAGATCCCAGCTGAGCAGACAGGGAAGGCAATGCTAGAACAGAGGCTGCCAGAGTCTTCCAAAAGCCCCACATCTGAGACCTGGAATGTTGTTTTCAGTATCTTCTGTTACCTTGGCTGTGGAGTGGAGTCTGGTGAGGGAAGTTGCTAGCTACAGCTCATGAAAGAACAGACTGGGCCTTCCACGCCCCCTGGGTTAGAGGCTGAGAGGCACCGGAGGATTTCTCTTACCCGCTTCCACATTGCATTCCTTCTCTGAGCCCTGCCTGTCTTCCTCAGCGAGAGCTGCTAGTTGCTCAGGGCTTCTATGGTTGCCTCTCTGCTCCTTCTTGGAGCCTGAAACATAACAAAAGTAGGAACAGCACGAACCAGCGGTCCCCAGACCTGAGAGCAGGCAGGCATCATCTGGGTGTCCTGTGAAAATACCCTCACCTGTGCAGCAGGTCTAGGGTGGGCGTGAAACTGACCAACTCCCCAGTGGTACTGCTATTGCCACCCATCTGGGGGCCCTGCTTTGGGAGAAGGGGGTGATACCAACTTACTGAGGAGGCAGTGGTTGTCTCTGCCCTCCCAGGCAGGAGACCAGGGTTTGATTTCCGGTGAATGCACTTCACGCACAGCCGTCTGTCTGTCGGCGGAGGCTTGTGTGTTGCTATGATGCTGGACAGGTTTCAGCAGCACTTCCAGACTAAGACAGACTAGGAAGAAAGGCCTGGTAGTCTTCTTCCAAATATCATAAAAACCTCGGGGAACATAGTGGTTCCATCTGCCATCGATCATGGGGCTGGCACGGACCCCACAGTGTTTTGTCCCAGGGTGTGTGGGGCCACCTTAATTCAGAGCAGGATTGCAGTTAACGACAATGGTTTTGAGTATCTTTTAGCTCCAGCCAAACCTCAAGCCAGGCCTCGTGTTTTGTAAGTGTCATCCATCCCCTGGAATTGTACCAAAGGCACGAATATATATATATATATAATTTGCAGTTGACACCCCAAGCTCCAGAAAGGGTAGGTACCTTGCCCAAGGTCACACCACAAGGACACAGCCATCATCATGTTGAAAGGGATGCAAATGGGAAAACCCTTTTCTATACAGTGTCCATGGTCCAGAAACCACAGGCAGCTTTTCAAGGCTCCCAAGTCGGAAGTCAATCAGGGAGTACCCGTGGCCAAGCATACTGACAGCCACCTTTGTCCGTCCATTGGTCAGGTTAAGGCAGGACTTGGTGCTGGTGAACTGCCCAGTGGTGGGGTGGCCACTGGGAGCTATTCACACCTCCCAGAAGGCCAGCATGCGGCCTGGTCGCATCAGGCTCACAGCTTCTCGCACTGTTGAGGCAGATTCCAGGGCAGAGTGCCGTCCCTCCCCACCCCCCAAGTCAGAAGGGCCAGCAGGAGGCCTGGCACTGTCTTGGTGAAAGACTGGTCAACCTTTGAACCCAGGAAGGTGTTCTCCCCAGTGGGGGTCCTGGTTCGAGGGCAGGCAGGCACATGGCCTCCTGCCCGGCTCCGGTGTTGCTTTTGTACTGGGCACCGGCCCTCCTTCCGGAACTGGGAAAAGTGGGAAAGAGACTTAGAGCTTTGTTTCTCAACCTGGTTCCCAGACCCACTGTGTGGGTGTCACCTGGGAGTCGGTGAGAAAAGCAGGGTCTTGGGCCCCACCCCAGACACGGTGCTGACTCAGACTCGCCGGAGGAGGGGCTTAGCCATGGGTGTTTTTACCAAGTCCTCCCCGCTTGTTTTAACGGAGTCCAGAAGGGCTGATTTCAACATCTCCTTGGCAGGATGCCTGGGATGGGGTCAGCCTCACCTGGGCAGTGGGCATGTGATAGCTGGAGTGTGGGGGCTGCCGGGGACCTGAGATGTCATTTCATCCGTGTCCCCCTCCCCCCTTTGCTGATGGGTGGCGTGTCGGGGAGATAAAGGGCCCGATGCATACAGGTACACAGCAAGTTCAAGGCAGGGTGTGAGTTTTCCTTCTTATGGTTGCCAGGGGCAGAAATCAGGTCCAGCACATTCAAGCCAGGAAGAGCGTTTGTTGACTTCTAACCAAAAGGCTCAGGAGCCCTGGCCACTCAGTGGTTACGCATCCAACTGTTCACCGCAAGGTGAGCATTTAGAATCCACCTGCTACCCCTCGGGAGAGAGGGGAAACTTTCTACCCCTGTCAAGACGGACAGTCTTGGAAACCCACAGGGGCAGTTCCACTCTGCCCTATAGGGTTGCTTTCAGTAGGATTCCACTCAATGGCCGGGAGTTGAAGTTGGTTGTTTTTTCCTTTTCTTGTCGTTGTTTTAACGGACAAGCTCAAAAGAGCCCTGGTGGCCCTGAGCCCTGGTGGCCCTGTGGGCTAAGTGTTGCACTGCCACGTTCAAAGCCAGGGGTCCAGGTGCACTCACCAGCCACGCTGAGAGAGAACCATCAGGCAGATTGCTCCCATAAAGATTTCGTCCCTGAAAACCCCATGCAGGGTCACTGTGAGTTGTACTTGAATCCATGGCGGTGGGCTTGATTTGTTTGTTTGTTTTTTCCAACTGAAAAGCCCAAGGTGTACTTCAGGTATGGCTGGATCCAGGTGCTGAGAGATGCCATCAAGTCTGTCTTTTTCATCACTTCTCAGCTCCCTGCCCAGCTCCTTAAGGTGCCCCTTACCGCTCCCAGATTCAAAATGTAAGCAGAGAAAGAACTAGTCTCCTCCCCGCCCGCCCCCCCTAATATTTTTAGCAAAAGTCTCTGTCTTCACTCAGATAATCCAGGTATGAGTCAAGGTCTTTCCTGCATCAATCACAACAGTCCCTGCTGATTGGTTAGACCTGGTTCACCACCCACTCCTGGAAGTAGGAGGTGGACGCAACCCATTTGAACTCCCAAGAACGGAGTGGGGTGCCATGAGACAAACCTCAGAAGAAGGGCCGTGGGTGTCATCTGCTGGCCTGGTGCCTCTCATTCCCTTTTCTCAGCGGTGCTGACTTCCTGCACCTCCTAAGGTCTTACCCCAGACAAAATCATGCTACCCTTCCCTTAACAACATAACAGTCGCACCGAAAACACCCTCTTCATTTCCCCTGTGTAGGCACAATTGATATCTGCACCTGTGGCAGACATGGCTAATCCACCCCAGTCTTTATGGAGCCGCATGTCCACCCAAACATGTTTCCAGGCTCTGTGAGTTCAGGGAACTTGTCCATTTTCATGTTTTATACTGGCCAGAACAGGGCCTAGCGAGCAGCAGAGACCCAGTAAATTGTTGACTGACGGTGTGAGCTGTTGATGAGATCACCTAGCGTCAGTGCTCACGGACGGGCTTTTGTGGTTTGGGGAAGAGGCTCAGGAGCCCTGGTGGTGCTGTGGAATAAGCACTAAGCCACTCACCACAAGGTCCGTGGTTCAAACCTGCTGGCTACTGTGCAGGAGGGAGCGAGAGCTAAAACAGTCTGTTCTTGTAACGGTGTACAACCTCTAGAAACCCGAAGAAGCCCTTTTACTCTGTCCTGTAGGGTCTCTGAGCTCTGGTGGTGGGGAAGAGGCTTCAGGCAGGGACTCGGAGGCAAAAAATGAGATTTCAAAAGAGGAAGAAAAACCCAGAGACCCTTCTCTGCCCCACCTCTTTTCCCTTGTCTCTTGTCTGCTAATCCCAACGTAACTGTTCGCTGATTGGTGAGATCTTGGTAGATAAGGAGCCTTTCCTAGATTTTCACATTTTTAGTTTCTGGGGAACCTGGAGCCCCTCAAGCCTGCCACAAGTGGCTTTGATGGTGGAATGAAAAGTCAAGGTGACCTGCCTTCCCTTGTATTCTTTCCCAAGTCCCCCACAAAAACAAACAACATCAACAAAAGCCTAAAAGGACCCTTGAGCAATCATGGTGATTCAGCAAAGGTGGAGTCTTCTTTGGTGGTTCACACCGGAGCCTCCGCCCAGGTGGTGAACATGACCTTCTACAAGAACCTGGCCACCTGGGTCTGCCAGCAGTGCTTCAGCTAACCCGGTGCCTCCTTGAGCTTGTGGGGCGGGCCAATGACAGGCTTGGTCTCCTGATTGAGTTCCCAATCCATCTCCAGATTGAGAACTAGGGGTAGGCAGACAAAGAACTGCCCCTATGTAGCTGTGAGCGGGGCCCTGCCCTCAACACAGACAGGAGGGTGGCAGGGAGTCTTGCTGTCTAGCATCTAGAAAAGTGGCCTGGGGGAGTGCAGGTGAGGGCGCGAGTGTGTGAGTGTGTGTGCATGCGTGCATCTGGGTGAGTGAGTATCTGGGTGTGTGTGACACTGTATGTGGATACCTTTATGTGACTATGTGCCTGAGTGTGTGTGTGTGGGGGAGGGGCCTGTATGAGACTGCATGCGTGAACATGTGTGCTATATGTATGTCTCTGTAAGGACCGGAGGCTACGGTGAGCATGAGTGCGTATATGTATGAGTGAGTGTGTGTGTGGGGGGTGGGGCGGAGGGTCTTGGCTTTACCGGGCCCCTCCCAACACATGCTAAGTGAGGTGCTCACAGCCACGCGGAGACCTGACTGGAGTCTTTCTTTCCTTCTTTGTTTCCTCTCTTTGCAACAGGTCAAGAACAGTCGCCCTTTCTGAGGAGACGCAAAATGTAAGTGGCTCTTTGGCTTTTCCCGTGGTGGTGCTGTCTCACCCCTGTATGGTGGGTGACCTGAGATGGGAGCGCCAGGGAGAGAGGACAGAGCCCCCAAGCCTGGGTTGTTCAGCTATGCCCACTCAGACGCCATGTGGGAGGTGGCCCAGCCAAGGGACTCGGGCCTGCTTGTGGAGTCCTAGCCTCAGCCCTGCCCTGCCGCTCCACACAGCCACCCTGGACAAATCCCCTTCTCTCTTTGGGGTGACTCCTTGTTGGCACAGTGGATGACCACACCGGTCTCGGACCCGGCTGTGGCCCGGAAGGCTGTAAGGCAACTTCCTGGCATCAGGACTCTGGTTTCCCAGGTGTGAGAGGGTGAGCCTGGGCCCTGGCGGAGCACAGACAAGATGCTCCGGGAATTGGGGCTTTTTTTGGTTTTCGTTTTCATTGAAAACTCTCATAGAAGTTGCAGGAGTCGTAGTGACTCGAAGTCCCTCGGCACAGTACTATATAGGTAGTCACACCATCTCATGCTTCCGTTTTTGCTGAATCACTGGGAGGTAAGTCACAGGCCCAGTGTCCCTTTGCCCCCAAGCCTTCTGCAGGTATTTCATAAGCACAAGGCCATTCTCTTACATAACCCCAGCAACCATTATCAGCCCTGGGGCATTTAACATTGACACAGTCCTGCTGTCTAATCTGCAGGCCTCCATGACATTTGGCCCATTGCCTCCCGTACGCGCAGTAACCCCACGGGCCCCCAGTTCAGGATCATCGTTGGCTTAAAGGCATTTCATAGGGTGGGAACCTGCCCTTTCTGCAGCGATCATGTTCACCCTAATGTAGAGCGATGTCTTGGGAACTGTCGTGTTATAGAAGGTCCCCATCATGTAAGTTAAGTCATTCGGTGAGAAGTGCATTTTACGACAGGTCATATCACAAGTGTTCACACACCTCATCCTTGTGAGAAACAGAAAGCCAAGCGTCCCTCGGCAGCATGGTGCTCACCCTCTGTGCTGCTCTGTTCCACGGAACAGGACACCCTCGACCCTGTGCTGGTGTTATAGCCCTAGAGGTGGGGGGGTAGGGGTGGAGTCTGCTCTGGAATTTGAAGAGGTTGGCTTTACTGGGCAGACATTTGTAGGGGGTGAAGGGAGTGCGTGCCCAGCCAGGTTCCCAACGGTCCAGGGAGAGGCACAGGTGGGTTAAGGGATTACTTCTGGAGCCAAGGGAGTCCCCAGTGTTGCAAATAGAGAAAATACACTTGACTGCTAACCTACAGGTTGGTGGTTCAAAGCGAGAGAGGCCTATAGTGATCACTTTAAAAAGGCAGGGGTGGAGGGGGACCAGCTACTGAAAATCCCATGGAGTGCTGGGGTTGCCCGGAGTCGGCAAGACTTGCCGGCAGCTGCTTTGCCGAAGCCACCACGGAAAGAAGAGCCACCCTTGATCCGTAGCCTGCGTCGTCTGTCATGTGCTCTTCACCTCCTGACGTCAACCATGGAAAATCGGTTAGGCATGGCCCGGTGTCAGCCTCCCGGGGCAGCTGTTGAGTGGGCATGAGAAGGACTGGCCACATCAGAGGACTGGCCACATCAGCCTCCTGAGTCATGATGACCCTCCCCACCGGCAGGCGTCATGCTCGCCGACGGGCACACGCACATGGTGCTCCCACCACACGGGGCCAATGCCTGTGAGCTGGTTTCACCCTGCAACCCTGGGCAGGGGTGCTTTTCCTCTCCCTCCGCAGGGACAGAGACAGCCAGTGGGTGCTGACAGGGTGTACCAGGCCCTGCTGAGCACTGACACCGGCTGTCCTCCTTGTCACCTGACACTGTCTCCATGGTCTCGGTGGGGAAACTGAGGCTCACAGAGATGAATGGACGCCCTCAGGGGCCCACAGCTGGGGAGGAGTTGAGCCCTGATGGATCTGATGGTGGTGTCCACACTCGCCCAGCCAGCGCCCTGCCCACCCCCTAGGCCTGGCTGCTGGTTAATAAGTAGCAGAGGGCAGCCGGGGAATGAGAGGCTGGAATGTGACTTCTGCTTCCAGATAAAGACAGTCTTGTGCAAGAGGCCCCTGCCCCCACCCAGCCTGGTGGCTTTATAGGCAATAAACAGAGGCCAGCCACTGTTCCTCTTTTTCAAGGCTTGCTGATCGGAGACCTTGCACTTGGGCGAGAGCCCATTTCATGGGCCAGGCAGCTAGGGCTGCGAGGCGGGCTTGCTTTCAGGCTGGACACCTCCGCCAAGCAGTCCTCTTGGTTTATTCTTTTCTAGAAGGGATCCCGAGCTCCCCGGCCTGGCAGACCGTGGGAGTGAAAGGGGGGTGTTTCTAGAGGATGAAGATGAAAGGGTAGAAGCAGTTGCCTTTGAAGTATGAGGATTGCTGCTTTTGCGCCTCTCTCGGGCGTGGGCTGCTGGGTGCCTCTGACCTTCAGCCTTCCGTCTGAGGAAGACGGTGATCTTGCTCATGAACCCCTCGGGGTGGCACGTCGCCAGATGGAGATGGTGGATGTGAGAAGTGGCTAAAGCGTCTTAGCCAAGGAAATCCTCTAGAGAAACCAAACTAGCGAGGCATTGGCTCATGCCATCTGGGGGGCCTGGAAGTGCAAACCATAGGTCAGGTGAGAGGCTGATGTCCCTGGCCTCGTCCATGGAAAGAGCCAAGAGTGGGGTGGTTTGGTCAGACTCCATAGTCAGAAGGCAGAGGACACCCCAGGGAAACACTCCCTCTTGACCCCTGAGGTCTTAGCTCTTGGGGTGAGAGAGACCCACTTGTAGATTTAGTCACATGTTGTCAACTCAAGCCCAGCCATGCTCTGTGAAAATGGTGCAGTCCCTGTTTCGCTCCATGGCCCAGAGGATCCCTTATGAATTGGAACTGAATTGATGGCCCCTTCCAACCCTCACCGCAACTGCTACTTCATAATAGCAACTAGTGTTTGGTCAAAGGCTCCCTGAGGGGGAGTGGGCTGCCACTGAGCTCACCACAAGGGCAGTGGTTTGAACCCAATGCTCTCTTCGGGAGGAAAGTCAAACCGTCTACTCCGTCAAGCTTGAAGGTCTCGGAAACCCAGGGGGGCAGGTCTGTCCAGTTCTACTCCGCCCCGCTGCTGCCGCCCTCACGCTGACCTCCTGGCTTCCCTTCCTCTCTCAGGTCCCAGAACTCTCGGGAAGGCTCACAGATCTCACAGAAAGTGCTGTTCGATCAGTTTTATGGTAGCAAAAAGGATGCGCATCGGGATCAAACCGATTAAGAGGCGCGTGGGGCAAGGCCCAGGTGATTGCATCTTCTTTCACCAACAAGGGAGCCTGGGGAGCATCCAGGCCTGGGACTTGCTCTGCTTTCCTGACGTCTCTTGTGTTTGCTCGTGTCAGCGCCCCGCCTCCCCTGATGGGTAGCAGGCAGCACTCTTCAGGTTAGGCTCCGCCCATGAGCGCAGCCCTCCAGGTGAGTCTAGAGGTCTAGGTAGCACAAACTCCAAACGGGCTGCCATCGAATTGATTCTGACTCCTAGCAGCCTGATGGGACAGGGCAGAATTGCCCCTGTGGGTTTCTGAGGCTGTAACTCTACAAGGAGTGAAGATCTTCATCTTTCTCCCTCAGAGCGGCTGCTGGTTCTGAACTGCTGACCTGGTGGTTGGTTGGCAGCCCAACTCATCACCCCTATGCCACCAGGGCTCCTCCTCGGTAACAAGGGTATTTTAAATGCTCAGGAATTTCCAAGGGTTCAGTGTAATCTCTGAAGTGCAAATTATTTGAAGTAAACTTGACCCTTTATATACACACACAGAGAAACATATTCATAGCAAAACAAGCAATAAATATAACAGCGTCTTCACGCCTGGAACAAGTCACATGGTTGGTTATAGCTGATATTTATAGTAACTTACTTTTTTTTTTTCCACTACCCATTCCACCTTCCATTTGCCCTTAGCACGCACCTCAGCTGAGCAGGGTTCTTAGCCTGGTGAGTGATCCAAACTTTCAACCCTGAAGGATCTTAGACCGTTAGTACTTATCCGTGCCTGTATTATTAGGTATGCTTATGTAGGAGCCAGCCAGAACACTTGTTCCTAACAAGAACAGCCCCTATAGTAGACAGCCCGTGAAGCTGGGGACTGCCATCCGTGTAACTCCCAGGGGAGTCACTGAACCTTTCTAAGCCTCAGCTTCTCAACCTGAAAAATGGAGCAATAACTCGATTAGAAAGACAGCCACATCTTCATTGCTTTGATGATACAATTTTGAGACCTGAGAGAATCAGTGCCAAGCATCCCCATACAGTTTATCATTCCTCCCAGGTGGGACCCCAGAGAGCAGCATTCCATAGCTAACAAGAGTTGGCTCCAAATGTCTTGGGACTACGTCCCCAAAGTAAATCTACAACCCTACCCCCTCGTACTCTTTGGTTCCTGGGATAATTTAGGGAAGAGGTTCTCCATGGTTGGCCTGTGGCCTTTCTTGGGGCTTAGCCCCTGTCCTCCAGCAGGGGCGTGAACACAGGCACCAGACTTTTGGCTTCTGGTGTCTTTACGGCCTCTTCCACGAGAGTGCCAATCTCCTTCCATCCTGGAAAGGGGCAACATCATTATAAAACAATACTGTTTGTTTGCCCTGATTATAAATGTAATACATTTAGTACAGGAAAACTGGAAAGCCAGGACACATCTAAAGGAGGGGAAAAAATTCATTTTCCTACATCCTAAGATAACCCCGGTGAAGTTAAACTGTGGGTGAAGATAAAGAAATAAAAATGTCCTTGTCTAAGTTTAGCTTACAGAGTACATACTTAGTTTGGGGAACCCGCTGACCTCTTAGGTAACATCTCTGGGTCTTTGATCGTCTAAGTTTTAGGGGTCAGCAAACTTTCCCTCCAGGGCTGGATTGGGCCTGTGGGTCATGTGGACTCAATGACCTTGGTTGGGGAACCAGGTCTCAGTACTATGCAATTGAATGGGTGTGTGCTATGTCCCAAGAAGATTTTATTAGCAAAACCAGGCCCCCTGAG